ATTCATTTCAAATGGGCCGGATCCGGCCCGCGGGCCGTAGTTTGCCCACGGCTGATCTAGAGGATGCAGGATTTGTCTTTTCATTCTGCTTATGTTACATGTTTTAAACTTTTGTTAAAATTAAACTTCTCAGTGCAGACAAATTCTCATATAGCTTTGATGGTTTATAAAAATTCTATCAAAATCAAATGAAATATTAATTTTTAAAAACCTCTAGTCATATAATAATTTAATAGTGTGTATTTCATTTTTTGCAGATAAAATAAAATCACTTCCTATATGCTATCAAGGTACATCTAAACACAGTGTTCTTTGGGTTTACAATCAGGGATACATAGTAGGATTTCACATAAATTCAAGCAGGAAAAAGAGGTTAATTTGTCAGGATTACTTACACTGGCTAAAGGAACTATAAAAGAAATACTAAATATTCAAAGAAGTAATTATCTTTAACAGTGTCTTCAAATCACATAAAATTTATCATATTTTAAGTGATATTAAATGTTCTTTCTGATGGGAAGATCACTGTAAATGATAGTTTTGTGCTGTGCAAATGAGCAATTTTCCCTAATTCTCTTCTTATAACTGTCTGTCCATTTTTCCCTATTATCTCATCCAAGTTAACATAATGGAGACCCTTGTAAAATGTGAGCCATACACTTCATTATGCAGTTCATAATATAAATTTTATCAGTGATGCCTTTATTTAAAAAAATATATCTGACCATCCCAACTGGTGTGGCTCAGTGGCTGTGTCTCAACTCATGAACCAGGAAGTCACAGTTCAATTCCCAGTCAGGGCACATGACCAGGCTTTGGGCTCGATTCCAGTAGAGGCATGCAGGAGGCAGCCAATCAATGATTCTCTCTCATCACTGATGTTTTTATCTATCTCTCGCTCTCCCTTCTTCTCTAAAATCAACAAAAAGTATTTTTTAAAAATCTGACCAATTCGATATAGTCCAAGTGTATTTAATTTCTCTCCTATTACCTCCTGAAACATATTTATTTTTTATTTAAGCCTATATATCTATGTATGGAGAGTGAGAATTCCCTTTGGACCCAAAAACACCATCTTAGACTGATGTGTGTGTGTCCACCATTTGTACCTGGTAGACCGTTCACATATGAGTCATTCCTTCCTTGCTATTATTGTTTGTCTGATATATGTGAAACAGTGCTGGAGGGCAGGCATATTCCCTTTATAGGAAACCCAATTTTCAGAAGAAAATGTTCTTTGTTTCATTTCTTGGTCTTCATGAGAACACAGAGATATAGTCCCATATGTCTCCCCTTGCTTGGATTAATAGGCTTTTCTTAAAAACAGTTACTAGCCAAGCCTTATCTTTCTGCGCACCCCTTGAATTCTAATTCCTTTCTCAATTATTTAGTGCGATGAAAATAAAGCAGTAATTACAAATGTCTCAATTTACACACAACTAAAAACAAAAAATTTAAAAACAATAAAAAATAAATATTTGTTGTGATGCTTGGTAAAGAACTACCAGCAAAGAAAGAGAAGGTAGAAAAACTAGTAAGACTTACAAAAAAACAAAAAAGAATCCACATCACACATACAGAAGCTCCGAGAGGGTATGAGGTAGTTTTTACACTTATAACTGCAATTTTTCAAATACAGAGTGAGCAAATGTTATGCCCTCCAAGGATAATGAAATAAAATAGCCCAGAGTAATTCAGCATCCACTTCAAATTAAAAGTAATATACTACCAATATCACTACCCATGTCATAAATATTAATAAAGAAAACATCTTTAGCCATTACACATCATGTATAACATAGTTTATCCATTATAAACCATATGTTAACATGGTTTAAAAGTAAAGAAATCACTTTAAGCAAACAAAATACATATACAGACTCTCTGAAAGATATCCCATATAACATTTATGATAGTTTTGCCGAGAAAAACGTGTAAGCCCAGGATTGGATTGACAACATGCCAATAACTTCCCCATCACTTTGGAGCTAACATACCAGAGGAACTACGTAATTAAATACATGAGTAAATAAAAGACCATTAACTTCCTGGTATAAAGAAACTCGGTCTTAAGACAAAAAAAATGTTATTTCATTTCACCCTAAAAATATAATGAAAATTAATTAGGTACTTACCTTAGATGATTAAAACTCCATCGGACACTTTAGAAGCCCAGGCAGCTCCTGGCGCAGCTTCCAGAGGCGCTCTTCAATTCCTATAAGTAAAAGGAAGGTAAAAAAGAACCTTGAGAGCAATGTATTTCTTTGTAAAATGATGCTGATTAGCTAAGAAATTCTTATCTCTCCACATTGCCATTTAAAAAATACCTCCCTAAGTATTGCTGTTATAGATTTTGTTAAATATACAACACAGCAATGAAAATTATGTCTTTCTGGGAACTTCCAAGGCAGTAAGTAGGCTCCAGATTATGCAACACTACAAAAAAATAAAACCACTCAATTGCATGTTATTTTACTTAGAAAACCTGCTGTACCATGAAAACTACAGCATTTGCTTTCTTATTATATACACATTACCAACATAAACATTTTTCTAGTCATAAAATGGAGTCATAAGAAATAGGTGCTGGATCCTTGTTTAGTTTGTACTGTTGACTTCTTTACTTGATGTTAGCAAGTATTCTTACTTTATGACCCATAATTTTCCTGGAAAAGATTTATAAAATGTGAGAAATAACAGTCATCAATTTGATAAATTGATATGTAATTTTTAGTATTTAAGTGACTTCTACTTCTAGATAATATACACTATATACAGCAAAAAAATTAATAGCATACTTTCATAACCTGTCTCAATTATCTCTAGGAGAAACTTTTAAAAATCATTATTTTCTCCCACCTACTCACCAAAAGAGAAAAAAAAAAGTGATAGGCAAGATAGGTACTTTGCTGCTATGCAATGTTACTTGTCAGTGTTGTCCGTACAGACACATACTAATTAGGTAGAATGGAAATGTGTGACATTCCTCTCTTAAGTCTCCTTCACTCCAAGCCTCATGCATGTTCTGTTAAATATAGGCCCAAATTTCAATGAAGCAGCACCATAGACATCTGTGTCCCACCTTTCACCCCTTTCTGAAAATCTCTTAATCCATTAGGTGGCAAAGAAGATTGGGGTAGAGATTGGTGAAGAGCTCATAACTGAGAAGTGTAACTTTGTCTAGGCACATGTAGCAGGTTAGAACATAAATAAGTGCTTCTCATCCCATTGCAAGAGGAATCAAATAAGGTCATACCTTAAGGGCTAGGTCATATAAATTACATTAGCCATATATATAAATTTATATGATATA